CAATTTTAAATTTATTGCTGGGATGGCAAAGAGGAATTTTCAGCAGCCATTACTCCAGTCTTCAGTGTCCTATCATTCTTCAGAATTTATTCTAATATGGTGATTTGATGCTCAAGAAACAATTATTATTATTATCCAAGTTGAAAACTGCTGTACTGATTAATATTTTTGTGGAAAACTGAGAAATGTTTCTCAATCTTTTTGCAACATTTTAAGTCTTTACTGTCACTTTTGGTCAATTTAATGCATACTTGCTGAATAAAAGTATTATAATTTTTCATCTTACTGACTCCATTGAACGGTAGTGTATCATATCTTAAACTCTAGTTTAAGTTTTGTTGCAAATTGTACTAACTTTCATTGAAAGGATGCAGCACCATGCAAGTTCATTTTCATCAAAAACTTTGGTAATAATTCCAATCACTGTATCACTGGGCAAAATTACAATTAGGTATATAATTTTTATTTTATATGATTTCACTTCATTTGATTAAAAACATTTAGCTTAAATCAGAGACTGTAAATATGCATTAGTTTAGTGCTCTTAGTTACAATGCCCCTATTAAAAATCTCTGTGTTTAAATACCTTTAAGCAATGTGTCAAAATTACTTTTACACATTTTGAGTGGTAAAAGAATCAGAAGAGAGAGATTTGGTAACGTAAAATTCTGCAGTGTTGGGGCAAGTTACTTTTAAAAGTAATGCATTACAATATTGCATTACTCCCTAAAAAGTAACTAATTTAGTTAATTTTTATGGAAAGTAATTAATTACTTTACATTTTGTGTTACTTTTTTCTCATCTGTGCTGGGCTTGCTAATTTTTTATTTTATTTTTACATAAGTTCTATTTTGGGCAAATATAAAAGCACTTTCACACCAAAAGTTAAATGAATAAGCCTCAGGCTGAAGGAAACGAAAACTCGCATCTGAGTAGAGGGTGCAGCTCAAACAAACCTTTCAGCTGTGCTGCCATTCTGGATTGCATAAATAAAAATACGCAGGAGAAGAAAGTTCAACACTCTTCAGTAATTTAAAAAAAGAAACACAAATGTTACGTTTATCTAGGGATGTAACATGTATCTATTTGTAACCGATTCAAATCGGTTAAGATGCTAAACAAATCGTGATTCAATAAGGGGTAGTTTATATGAATGTCTGAGGGGAACTTACTGTCTTTAGAAAAGTTTAGATGGTATTTTTTCTTTTCATCTTGCCTCTGTATAATGCATATTAAAGTACATGAGTGCAGCGCTGCTTTGTTTACAGCGGAAACCAAGGAAATGCTTTAAGCGCCACCTGCTGGCAGAGAGTGAATCTGCGTCTCATTCAGCTGCGGTTTCATGCAGATATTTTTTATGTATTGTTTCACAAAACTGAAGTCAAACCATTCTGTTTTTGCATCAAATTTCGAAATGATACAATCTAATTTAGATTAAAAACTGCTCATGTTGCATGTATGCAGCATCTTTGTTTGGATCATGATTAAAATGCAGTGGTTGCCTCTAATTTTAAATGGGAAGAGCACAGACAAAGCCTTATTTTGTTTATATGAAGAGATTTATTTTATTTGTGTTACTTATTTATTTGATTTGGGTCTTTTTAAAATTTCAGTTTAGTTTTGTTATTTACATTATATAAAAATTTTGTCATTTAGCAGACGCTTTTATCCAAAGCGACTTTACCACAGTACAATATAGGTAATGGCATATGTTTCATGTTTACATTGTGCACTCCCAACCAGATACAATATTCTGATTGTTTGCATCTTGTTTTTAAGCCCATAAATAATGTACTTGTTCTAATACATTTATATTGTAATGTACTCATTCTAATATATTTTAAAAATCATTTACATTGATGGTAGGTTATCATTGCACAAATTAACACTCAACAATTAAAAAAAAAAATGAGAAGAGTTCTAAACTAACGCGCTGTCTTCACTGTATCTAACGCACACACGATCAAGGCTGATTTATACTTTATTGTTCGCTTAAATATAACGTCATCGCGGTGTTGGGCGGAAGGTCGCTTAGGTGCGCGCGACGTCGTTTCGCGTGGCGGTGTGCACGACATTTTTTGTAACTTTCCGCGCAGCTCCGCTTCCGAAGATGCACGAGTTCAAAGCGACTCTAGCCGAACATGCACGTCTGTGCCAGCATTTGTGTGAAACAGAAGCAGTTTGATGTCAAATTCAGTCACACACACAGATCACACTGCGGCCGCACTCAGACATTCAGGAACAAACTTTTTAGCACTGCCCCGCAGTTTTATCAACTAAATAGCTTAATCGCTCAAGAGCTACATTATCTTTCTCAACAAGGAGCTGGTAGCATCATTGTTTCTAAAGGAATTAAAGCCACAGCTTTACTGTTAATAGAGAAACGCGGCAAAACGGTGGTAATTCATACATACACAGCCTCTCTCTCACTCTCTGTGTGTGTCGTAAATGATGAGCTGATGAATTACACTTTTCTGAGAATAGAATATTGAAGTGGAGATCGCTAAACTGCAAGCTAACCAGTGTTTTCAGAAAGCAAGCGCGTTAGGGATGGGCATATCGATCCTAAGTATCGATATATCGATACTGTATCATTACCCATTTTACTCTTAGTAATTTAATAATTTAATACATTTCATCATTTAAAAGTTTAGTTCAGAAGTATCGTATCGGTATCGATATCGACGATACTGCCTTGAAAAATATCGGTATCGTATCGAAAACAAAATAAGTGGTATCGCCCATCCCTAAAGCGCGTTTATCCACAGTGGAGAGAGTGAGTGCACAGGGTTGCCAGGTTGACAAAGATAAGTAACACATTTAGCAGATATTTCTGTATTGCGCAAGTGTGAAGCTCTGTTTTGGGGATTACGTCTCTTTATATCAGGCAACCCCGTTGTGTTGCTCTGCGGCCAGATTAAACCTTGTTGTAGCCTATATATGCTCTATTCATTCTTTTTTAGAAACCTCACACTTTTCTACTCCATTTTAAACATTGTAAAATTTTACACGTGCCACAATTTCGATACAGGGCCAGCTGTATCGATACTCGTATCGTTATTTTGAACACAGCACTAATTATTATAGTGTTATATTTCAATTTCACAAAGAAACTTGCAGCATTTTGTTTTGCATTTTGCAATAAAAGTACACGTTTAATTTATAATTTGTCTTAAATCTCATTTTGTAAAAACAAAATCGTGAATCGAATTGTGAAATCAAAATTGTGAATGGAATCGAATCGTGAGTTGAGCGAATCGTTACATTCCTATGTTTATCTTAAGTAATTTTCGCTTATTAGTATGATTGGATCATCTAAGGTCAGCAGCAAATACACTATATCAGTGTTAACATATGTAATTATTTCAGGTTTGCATCATATTCTGAGTTTTCATTTCATTGTATTTATTCGTTCTGAGAAATACTGAATCTGTTTTTTGAGATGAGTAAATGCATGATCACATTTAGTCTAGAACTATAGCAGCCATCATATTTACACAGCACACACAACACCTCTGCACTTAGAGCAGATTTCTCTCAACATGGGGACAGGAGAGATGTCAGTCAATAAATGGGGAAAGAAATTAACTGGTGTTGCTTGAAAAATCAATCAGATATTTTATAGTAATGTGTTACTTTACTAGTTACTTGAAAAAAGTAATCTGATATAACTCATGTTACTTGTAATGCATTACCCCCAACACTGCCACTGTGCCAACTGTAATTAAGAAGTAACATGAACACACCTCTCTCTCACTGTGCAATATGTTACTTTTTCATTGTGAAATGCTGAGTGCCAAATTAATTCCTGCTAGGACCTTATTAGTAAGACTGCTGACACTCTGTGAGGTCTTGCTCGGAGAACAGGATACACAGAAAAACAGCTGGCAGAAGATCACACAAGACTTACGGTAAACACATAACATCTGGTTGAGGATGATCTTCTAGGAGAGCATGATCCAGATTGTGCTACAAAACCCTGAATTGTTTATTCAAGTGCTGAATGCATAATTAATAATGCAAAGATCTGCAGTAAAGGTAAAAAAAAAAAAAGTATTTTTTTTTTCCTGCTTTATGCACAAGCACGTGCTTCAGGGTGGGGTATATAACAACAAGACCATGGTAACTTCCACACTAGCACTAGTTAATGGGTTAAGGAACCAAAAAACTCCTCCTCCATTTCTCAAGACTTGAATAGCCAGCAAAGGTGCTCCTGCTGCTAGAAGGAGCAGACGTTCCGATCACTTTCCCAGACTGCTCTAGCTCGACAATGGCTCTTCATTAGTGGCCAGTGTTATCCGCTTAATCCTGTTTTTGGCAGGGCAGACTTGGAGCTGTTCCAGATCCCCACCCTCCCACAGCCAGATGATTTTAAATGGCAGCAGTACTATGCAGGTCCACACGGCCGGAACCCGTCAGGTTGAAACAAAGACAACTTGAAAAATCAAGAAAAACTGTGAAAAGGAACCCAATTTAAATACAAAATGGTGATGGAATGTAACAGTCTAACGGGATAAAACATTACTGTAGATATTTCTTTAATCTTCAAAATTTGATTTGTGTATCTTAATTCTGAAATGGCAATCAAACCAGATGGGAGGACTACATTCCTATTTATTATCCTCCAATTGTCTGTGTTAAAGCCTTTAGCGGTCCCAACAAACTGTTAAAGGCAGTTTGCGTGCCCCCCCCCTTTTGCGTGCTGACTTAATCCTCATTGAGGTCCCTCAGGCTCCAACCACAACAGTGAGAAAACAGGCCATCCATCATTGCTACTCCTCTCACAGCATGTGAGAAATCCAATCTACTTTTGAGTGAATAGAATGGGAAATTCCTCTGGGTGTTCATGTGTCCCCTCCTACACTTTCGACACAATAGCGATGTTCGTATAAGCTTATAAACCATATAGTGATGTCATGTTTATGTTTTTTTTGGGGGGCACAGGAGGTGCACATTACAACAACAAACACATACAATAACACTTTTTTTTTTTTACTCACCAATCTGGTTTTGCATTTTGAAGGCAATGTCAAACTGGAGGATAACCAACATAAACTGGAACCAGGCACTCATCTCTCTGTTGGGCAGTGGAATGTGGACTGCAAACACAATGTTGTTGGCCTCGATTCTCTTGGCCATGGCCTCATCAAAGTCTCTGATCTTGCGGCACTGGTCGGGGCCCCATGGCATGAACCACTTGGAGCCCTTATGGTGGGTTTTCACAGTGTCCACACACTTGGTGGCCAGGTAGTGGACGGCAGTGGTGGGGCTCGGAGCTACAGAAATATATTTGAATATCGGTTTAAAAATAGCTTGGGAATAAAGAATAATGATGTATTGATTCACATATTTTACACATAACTACATAGACAGGACATAAGCAAAATCTATCATATTTATTTTACAGGAACACAAGAAATATATTTTTTGAATCACAGAGCATAGAATCTTACTTTTTTTATTTATTATTTTTATACATATTTTATAAAGTTATAGAAATTCTTACATAAATTGCAAACAGCTGGTTTTAAAATTTGAAATTTATACTTTAAAAAAAAAACTAAAAATGCAGTGAAAAGAGCAGTAAAATATACTTTCCAGCAAGAATGCATTAAATTGATTACAGTGACAGTAAAGACTTTTAGAAATTTAAATAAGTGTTCTTTGTAAATTGTATTCATTTAAATAATCTATAAAAAAAAGAGTTTTCAGCTATGATAAGCATATTAGAATGATTTCTGAAGGATCATGTAACACTGAAGACTGGAATAATGGCTGCTGAAAATTCAGTTTTGCCATCACCGAAAGAAATTACATTTTAACATACTTTAAAAACAGAAGACAATTATTTTAAATTGTAATAATATTTTACAACATTACTGTTTTACTGTATTTTGATTAAATAAATGCAGCCTTGATGAGCATAAGAGACTTCTTTTTTTTTTTTTTTTTTTTTAAGAGAAAAAAAACCTTACTGACCCCAAAATTTTGAATGGCATATGTAAATGACTCACAAAGTGACTGTCTGACATATCCTTACTAAGAGGGGGTCATTAGCATGAGAAAGTATGAACAGGCTTCCTCCACCATTCAGAAGGCTGGTTCTGGTAGTTTGTTAAGTATGAGTCAATAGAGCCCTTCCTGGGTCATCAAGGACATCTAAAGCGTGCAAATGACCAGGAAGCGCGAGATAATGTGAACCAGCCTATAGCTTGAGGACATTAAACAAGAGTGTTTATCAGCATTTCATTCAATATAATTGAGTAACAGCACCATTAAAAATGTTATAAAAAGCTTTTAATTGCTCTGCTCACATTTGCGTGGTACAAACCTGTTCCTTTGAAATATACTAACCAAATAAACAAAATTAGCTGTACTAAACCCTCAGAGTTAAATTATTCATTGACCCACAATCCTAGGAACCAACCCTCTTCAAAATACCACCACAAAATAATAGTCGCTTTTTTCGGCCCAGTGACCTCATGCCGTGTTTAAGATGTCCAATAACAGGGGAAGCAGTGCGCCTTTCTACTCAATTACCCTGGCTGCCACCAGCCACCGAACAAACACAAAGAAATCCTGCTTCATTAAATCAATCACAGGCAAGAATAGCCAAAGCAAGCTAATTTATCACCATTCATCCCCCAGTCTGCAGGAGACCAAGAAATGATTCCCTTCCTATCGAAATCAGAAGGAAGCCCGAGGTTGCAAAGAGGAAAAGTGGACGAGGACAAAACAGTCTTTCCAGGTGGTGCCAATTAAATCAAGCTACTTGGAAATAAATACTCAATCCTTAAGATAGAAGGGAATATTTCATTGCTTCTGTAACAAAAGGGCACAAAACGACACTGGTGAGGTCTGTGGGCACAGAGGAGGGGTTGTCTGTTCAGATGTATGAAGATCAAAGAAAAGTTCTAGAGATGCACCTCGTTTAACCCTTTATTGGCTGATGAGAAGTAGAAAGACTGAATTTAACAACAGAATACAAGACTGGTACAAGTTAATTGATTAAATTGAGCAAATGAAGTTTGTAATATACGACATACTTCATTGCTAACTTCACCTTTTGTTTGTCTATAACACTTCTTAATGTACTACGGTTTTCCCTGCATTTTATTAGTGTGTCTGCTCTGCAATGGAAACATCAAGAACTATCTTGAACATTAATTAAAAATTGTTTAAAATAAGCTAGTAAACAACGTAAATATGGAAGTCACTTCACAATGTTATAATAAAAGATCAAGTGGGTTTAAACAAGCCTTTCTCCGTTTAGTTTCTCTGCATTTTTCAAGGACCGGGGACAAACAAGAGACATCAAGGCGCAGAAGTAGCGAGTAAAAATCAATGTCTTACAGACAACAAATCAAAACTTACAGGCGGAACGCTGAAAGCAGCAGCACAAAGACTGCACCAGTCAGTCGACGAGGTGAAAATAAGCGCCCATCTTTGACACTACTGTAACAAAGCCAGTCCGCAACTTTTCACTCCGTCCTAGAACGCAAAGAAGACTCTCTTTTTTTCTTTTGCTAAAAACCACCTAATGTTGCAACCAGAACCAATGGCAACATACTGTGTAGTAAACAAAGCCTGAACTATCAGGCGGCTTTGTAAAAGTAGCTACTCACCAATCAGTCCTCCGACCATAAAGGAGAACGCCTGGAATAAAAGGAGAATTACTCCCACAATCACCAACTTTTTGGTGCTCATATTCTCAATAATTGCTCCAGCCATTTTCAAAGTGTCTCTGTTGTTTGGATTGAATGCAAAGAAACAAAAGTCACGGCATCAAGGTGGACCAGTGCGCTGTCCGAGATTGAGAGCGCGACACAGGCTGTGTCTCAAACCCTGGAGAACTGCCTGTGTTTGTTGCGCTCTTCCTAAGGAACTATAGGGAAAAGAGAATGACCACGTGACCCACCCTGCATCAGGAACGCAGACGAGAAGAATGCACGTGACGTCACACCGGACTCTTGCCATATGCACAAAACTTCAAGCTTTTTATTTGGCACTTTTAATACAAAACATATTTGTCATTTTATTCTCACCTGTGATATTCTCAACAAATCATGAAATAATAATAATAATACATTACTAATACCAAAACATTATTATTATAATCATTTTATTTTTAAGAACGATTTTTCACGTTTAAAAACTGCAAAGCTGCAGCAGAAAATTTAGTTTTTTCCATACCGTTTACATTCACTGGCAAGCTTTTAGCTATGTGGCTAAAATTATGCTATTCTATAAATTTTTCAGATTGTGCTGGAGGCAACAGAGAGTCTGAGAGTCTCCCCAGCTGGCATGCAAAATGTGACAGTAGGACAAACCTGCTTCATTTTAGCCTTGTGTTGCTGTTCCAACTGTAGGTATTAACTTACTAACTCTGAGGTACCAAGCAATGATAAATACAACACTACAATATAGAATTATATGGTTTTTATTTAACTGTTAGTTTCAAGCCACTCTTTATAAATTGTTACTGTTTCAGTTTTTCAGAGTGCTTCCTTATGTATCACCATGTGCAGTGTTGGGGAAAGTTACTTTTAAAAGTAATGCATTACAATATTACGTTACTCCATAAAAAAGTAACTAATTACGTTACTTAGTTACTTTTTATGGAAAGTAATGCGTTATGTTACTTTTGCGTTACTTTTTAAATCTGGACAGGGCTTGATTGTTTGTTTTTAAAATAAAAAAGTTATATTTTTGGCAAATATGAAAGCCTTTTCACACCAAAAGTGAAATGAATAAGCCTCAAGCTGAACGGAAAGTAAATGTACATCCGTACAGTAGAATGCAGAAGAAGACATTTCAACACACTTCAGCAATAAACAAAGACACAAATATTTGTCTAGTAATTTTTGCTTATTAGTATGGTTGAACTGGATCATCGAAGGTCAGAAGCAAAGACATTGGTTAATAGAGTGGGATTAAATACATAAAGGATATTTGTGTTGTTTAACATTTAATTATTGCAGGTTTTCGTCATATTCTGAGTTGCATTATTTTTATTCATTTTGAGAAATGCTGAATCTGTGTTTTTTTGTGAGTGAGATAAATTAATGCATATTCATATTTATTTTAGAACTACAGTAACATCTTCTGATTTCTCTCAACATGGGGACAGGAGAGCTGTCAATCAATAAATGTAAAAAAAAAAGTAACTTGCGTTACTTATTTGAAAAAGTAACTCAGATATTCTCTTGTAAATTAAAAAGTAATGCGTTACTTTACTAGTTACTTGAAAAAAAGTAATCTGATTACGTAACTCGCGTTACTTGTAATGCGTTACCCCCAACACTGATCATGTGTAAAATTTTGAAATCAGACGAAAACATCCAAAAACCTTCTCCGATCTAAACATGAAGGTTAATCACAGTTTTCCAGAATATTACTGAAGACGAAGCATTGCTTTCTTTTTCTAGCCCTGTCCATTACCAGTTCTGAGTTTTTGATCAGCAGCTGTTGAGTTAAGCAATGTATAATTTCCCCTGGTAGGAGCAGGCTGCTGCATGAACACATTTCCACATCTGGGGGGAAAAAAAGAGCTGTAGATCTCAAGAGAATGACACAGGATGGCCTTAGTACAGGAGAGTCATCATACTCTCAGCTGATTCTTCAGATTCATTTAAAACCTGAATTTGCATCATATCATGATGTTGATATCAGACAAGCTTGGTTTGTGGTAAATGTGGCATTCTAGAGATTCTAGGTTGTCTAGAGAAAGCAGGTAGCTTCATGACAAAAGAGAACAGTGGTGTTGTGTGATCTAGTTTTGTTAGACTTGAATAACACCCATGACTTAATCCCAGTGATCCTGTTTAAAGTCTAACTGAGGAGTAGTACAACAGATAAGATAGTCTTCACTGTCACATTGTCCATCAGAAATCATTTATATTAGGTTGATTTGGTGGTCAAGAAACATTTCTTATTATAATAAATGTGTTTGTATTATTAACATTGTGCTGCCTAATATATTTGTGGAAACCGCACAATTTTTCTTTCATTGTTCTTTGATGAATTGCTTAAAATAAAAAATAAATGCTTAATAGAAAGCCATTTATTTGAACAATAAATATTTTGTTACATCAGTCTTTACTCTCACCTTTTGATTGAATTTAATGTTCTTCCTGAATGAACCCAGTGATTTTTGTGCTCACTACTGTATAAAAATAGTAATACAGTAAATATACAAATATAATTTCACTTTCTCAAAATCTCAATTTATTAAAGTCCAACATGATAACATCATTGTACAAGCTGAACATATATCAATGGTTTGTGTGTAAAAGCAATAGTCATGAAGTTTGCCACATATTTTATAATGGTAACAAGTTTGGAAGCCATAATGGCAATAATAAAAACGCTTGACAAAATAACAAGGTTAACAGGGTAACATACCTTATGCATCATACCTCATACTATTATGAGTGCTAATGATTTTGGTAGATTTCTTCTATTATGACAGCTGGTTCTGCTTGAACACAGCTAAACACTCTCAAAATCCATTTGACTGGACTAGGTTCAATAAAACTATGGATCTGTAATCTGAAATCTGTCAGTTTTAACGATGGTAATTTTCCTCATTAAAACAGTACTTTTGGTTATGGTTAAAATGATCATGAGATAAAAAAGCAGTAGTACTAAATAAGCCATTTTATTTTACATGGAGTGGGGTTGCCTCATGAGGGCAGACGTGTAAGATCTCCTGACCAGCCAAATACTACTTTGGCTTTTAATTTCAGTAATTCACCTATAATTTGACTCTTTTGCTTACTGAATAAATGAATTATTTCTACAATGGTAACTACAAACTAGTTACAATCAAAGACCAATCACATAATGGTCAACATAATGTTAACCAAAAAAATAAAAAAATACAGAGTGGACTATTAAGCGAGATGGGCATTTCACCAATCTTTAGATTGTGTAAAACTTTGGAAAGTTGCAATTTATGCACAGGAACAAGAAGCGCTTATACAAAGAAGAGGGAACAGTTTTGGGTTTAAAAGCGAGCTCGGATTTTCTCCAGAGGGTCAGTGTCCCACATATGTGGGTCCCAAGCCTGGAACCAGCCTGTGAAGGTCGGGGGCTCAGCCCCCTGCTTTATGGTTGTGATGGGCAGTCCACGACGTCCAGAAGGATCAGAGTCCACATAGTCCTTAGCTACAGACAAAGAACATACTCAGTTATAGAGTATACAGAATATAGAGTGCTATAGGAATGACATATTTTTGTAGGTCAACTTGTAAGTTAGCATCATCCTGTTTCCCTCAACAAAATTTTTTCCATTGACTTTTGGATTATTGCAGAAAATAAGCTCTGTGATTAACAAAAGCTCTGTGATTCTTACACATTTTCCTCATCAACAAATTTTATGAATTTTGAAGCCTAAATACAATCGCCAGAAGTAAAAAGCTGAAGTTAGGATATAAACGAACTATGGCTTAAATGTTACTACCATTAAGCTTCTGACAACTCTTTTGATCTTAATTTAAAATCTATAGCTTAGAAAGTCTGAGTTAGAATAGTTTGCAAGAGTGTGAAAACGAGGCTATAAAAGCAGACTACTGAGAAGAGAAGTTGATTTGTTGGGCGTGATGAAGTTTAAGGCCCCTGACAACCTCTCTTGTCCCATTTAGCCATTTGTTAGCAATCACCTTTTTCACGACGATAAAAGCTTTAAAAATCATTGGGAGTGGGGTATAACTGACGTAGAAAAAAATGGAAGAGTATCTTAAGCTTGTGTTAACCAAAATCCTGTTAAAAAACTTAAAATTCAATGTTATATAATGAAACGATTTAGTAAACATGTCACTCACCTATTTTTGGTGACTCAGTTTTTTCAACCTCATTGGCTTCTTTACCAATCCAAAGGAAGATCTGGAAAGAGTGACAGTTCTTCAGGATTACAGCCCATGAACTATATACATGTGCTAGCTGATACAATCTGTGTCCCAATTTAGAGGCTGCATCCGTCGAAAGGCTGCTTTCCAAGACCGAATGCATCACTGTGGCACAACAAAAGCTGTCCCATTTCAAGACTCGAAATGCACCCTTCGTTTCCCAGGACACAAAGCATACAAACAAATGGATCCTTCATAGCCCAGGCTATCCCATAGTGTTTTGTTTGTTTATGTCTTTCTTAATGCCAATTCAGCATCTATGGCTATATTCATGGCGAGAACCAGTTAAACCATACACAAGTCGATCCATACACAAGTCCGGAGACAATTTAGAATGATCAATTAACCTAACCTGCATAAACCCACACAGACACAGGGAGAACACGCACACTCTTTGCCGGGGCTCGAACCAGGGACCTTCTTGCTGTGAGACAACAGTGCTAACCACCGAGCCACTGTGCCATCCTTTGCGACAGTTGAATAAAACTCCAGTACATACATCACTGCCGCTCATCAGCTGCAGCTGTCACAACAGTCCTCCGTAGGCTAGACTGTCCCATTTAACAATAGACGGTTTGACCTTCACAGACATTAAAGGTGTGGCCTTTGAAGTCTGTGTCCTTCTAAGAATGCAACCCCTGAATTGGGACACAGCTACAGTCTAAACCAGTGGTTCTCAACCTTTTTAACTCCAAGGCCCCTCATCATCTAAGACAAAATATTTTTGGTACTTTGCTATAATATTATTATTAATATAGTAAAATAATTAAATAAAATAATTATATAAAAATTATATTAGTATTAATTTCCACTTTTCTACATGTGTTTATGGGATAACACTTTTAACAAATATTTTTAACTTACAAATATGATAATTTCTACTTATAAAAGATTTTAACACTTGACATAACTAAAAAAAAATGTGTATTTTTCTTTTTAATGTGCATTTTACTTCTCAAAATTGTATTATTTTCCATGACTTAAAATTTCACATTTATTATAAGATTTATAAATAATAAATAACTTAATAAAAATGAGGGAACGTG